ACTATCTACTACCGAGGAAGTTTGTAATTGATTTTGATAAAATGACCTTTGGGAACAACAAAGGCCAAGTTCCTGTAACTGTTAAAAGAGAGATTGAACTAACCAGGTGTCATCAAGCTGAAGTCAAAGTGACTGAAGGAGTTGATGATGGTGAAATGGAACCAAATATAGATATCAAAGCAGAACAGGAGAAAGACCAAGATTTGAAGCCAATAAATGATTTTCTAAAAGCAAGTGTTTTGCGCCCTGCTTGGGAGAAGGTGTCTAGTCTAAGCCCTGTGACAAAGAACTATTGGGCACAATGGGACCAGTTGAGGCTTGAGGATGGTATTCTTCTCCATAGATGGGAAACAGCAGATGGGAAAGTGACGACATGGCAAACGGTTATACTGAGAAAGTTACGGGAAGTTGTGCTGCGTCAATCCCATGATACTTTAACAGGAGGACATCTCAGAATTAAGAAGACATTGAGTCACTTACGACACAGATTTTACTGGATAGGTATGAGGCGAGATGTAGAAGAATGGTGCAGAACATGCAGTACATGTAGAGCTAAAAGGGGACCCAAGCATAAGGGACGTGCTCCAATGAAGTTATATCAAGTTGGTGCACCAATGGAAAGAGTAGCCATCGACATTGCTGGTCCTCTACCCCAAACTTGTGCTGGAAACAAGTACATTTGTGTGGTGATGGATTATTTCACGAAGTGGCCTGAGGCATATGCAATACCAAATCAGGAAGCTACAACAGTAGCTTCAGCTATTAGTGACTTCTTCTTCAGATTTGGTATGCCATATGAACTGCATTCAGATCAAGGCCGTAACTTTGAATCAGCTGTGTTCCAAGAATGCTGCAAGTTGTTTGGCATCCGAAAGACCAGGACAACGCCACTTCACCCACAGTCTGATGGGATGGTAGAAAAGTACAACTGGGACAGGAATTGGCAAAGTTTTGTAATAGCCGCCAAGATGACTGGGATGTCTTACTCCCTCCACTGTTGATGGCCTATAGGACAGCAGAGCATGAAACCACTGGGTAAACTCCAGCAAAGTTGAT